TTCTGATATATTTATATTGATGCAAATATATTGTGTTAGCACGAGGGTTGCACCGAAGTGGTAAACGTCTGAGACCTGCATCACTTCGGGCTTTCCTCCCACATTAAGCTGACACGCCGCGATATGACTGGAATAATGTTAAAAGCGGCATTAAACCCAACTCACTCACTCACTCACTCCTATAAAAGCCTGTTTTAAATGTGAAAAGTGGTGTGTGCGATTAAATGAAAAGAAACCAAACCAGCACTATTTCACAAACTTAGTAAATTGTAGTAACATTTGTGAATTATGCCGAATTTCAAAAATGTGTATGTACAATGAATTTTGGAAATGTGGAAGTTATCAAATTTTTTAACCCTAAAACACTTGTTCAAGTAGATAATGAAGAGCATTCTCTACCACATTAAGCGACTCTATACAATGCAATGGAGGATACCCAAATACTAGTACCTGTTCTAGATTGTCTAACAAGACAACGCACCAGTACACGCCAGTTGGGTTGAGATGGATGCTGTTCGAGAATGTGGGTTATAACTGTGACCTACAGGTCTAGCCCCCAGTGATTTCCACTTAGTCCCTAAATTGAAAAAGCACCTGCAGGGTTGAAGATTTGAGGACGACAACAATTTACTTCCGGACCACAAAATATCGGGCATTAATGATTGAAAAACCAGATGGTACAAGTGTGTGAATTGGAACGGGACTATGTTGAAAAATAATTGTAACTTTAACCAGAATTTCAACTTTAAGTAAGTGAGGCTCAAAACGTTTTGATATCCCCTCGTAAAAGTACTTTGTTTATTAATTAAATCTTAACAAAAATGAAGATTGAAAGGTAGCTGGACCTAAACAGACACTGTACTTGAATACTCACGTTTTATTGTCTCCTAAATGTCCTCCATGCTTTTGCGAATGTATACTTGTCAGTACTTTAGGTACTTCATCCTCACCCAGCACTCTTAGACATCTTCCATTCTTTGATTTGTAGCACAAAACATCATTTTCAAGTGAGAATCTTTTGCATTTTCGTCTAAAATTTCTTTTAGCAAAATCAGTGCTCATTGATTTTGGGTAGGTCCTGTCCTTGACGAAAAGGGAGATCTCACTGATCTCCTGTTGTTCCATTTCTGACTATTGTGTGAATGCTTTGACACATGACTTATGACATACACGACTGTATGCCTATCCATAACATCGCATATGACAATCTTTCGATTCTTGTCACGTGGTACTGCTGCACGTGCAATACGGTCGAATATGAAGGTTTTTTTGGTCTTCCGACAAAGCCATGATAACACGTTTGAAGAAAACATAAAAAAGTCGGCAATGTTTGAAATATACATTTTGCTTGAAATCTTGGATGAGAGGATTCCGTAAACATATAAAATTTCTGCCACGTTGTCAAACATCGGCAAACATCAATGTAGCCAAAATCTTTGTAAAATATTAACCGATATCAATAAAACTGATATGCACGAAAATCTATGCAATACCTACGTCCTTGATTTAACCAGCTGAAACATGGAGACTATAAAACCACTGACAATGGCTATTTGTAAACCATTGCAAAAGACACTTTGGCCTCTTTACGAATGAAATCGAATGAGCAACATAGCTTGACGTCCTTCGATTTGCAACAAATGTGGTGTCAATAAGTCTAAAATCAAAGAGAAGCTGTATCGGCGATTTTTGGTTGTATAGATCTATAGTTATGTCCAGTCAATCTTGAATATCGAGATTATTCCCGTTTTAATAAAACATGAAACGCCCCCACCCTTCTCTCTACCGCACTCGAAAAAACATACATGTACGTAAAACAACTGATGCAAGCTTACAGAGATACGCACTCAGAAACACCTAGATAAAAACACTAACAAAGATTTCATAGATTATAACATTAGATCTTTTTATTTACACTAGAAGTCATAATTCAACGGAGTCACTTTTCAACGCGAGGCCCGGTCACTATTTAACGACTTTGTAAACTGACAGGGTCACTTTTCAACTGTTGAAAATTGACCCTGGTCTGTTGAAAATTGAGACCGGGTATGTTTTCAACGTTGAATACTGACTCCCGGGTCACTTTTCAACGCGGGTCCATTTTCAATGTCACACCGGCCCAGTCCTCTTGCAGCGCCTGGCCAAGTTCAGCCAACGTTGTCGACTGCCTATGACGTTGAAGCAAACGTCTCCCTATCATCTTCCAGATGTATTCAATCGGCGAAAAGTCTGGGCTCATAGCTTGCCATGACATTTCGATGGACGTGGTGCTGCTAGAGGTGAACACTTGCGATTCGTGCACGGTCACCCTGAGTTGGTTTGGTTGGTTGGTTTGTTGTTTTACGACGCACTCAGCAATATTCCAGCTATATGACGGCGGTCTGTAAATAATCGAGTCTGGACCAGACAATCCAGTGATTGATATCATGAGCATCGATCCACGCAACTGGGATCGATGACATGCATCAACCAAGTCAGCGAGCCTGACCACCCGATCCCGTTAGTCGCCTTTTACGACAAGCATAGTCGCCTCTCTGAGCAGCAGGGGAATTAAATTAACTACGGTATCGCTAGTCTAAGCTCGCTATCAGTCAACTACGACGCACGGCAGTCGGTCAAGTAGTGAACACAATGTAAAGTCCATTCGTCAGTTACAGAAAACGCTGATACTTTCATTTCGATTTGATGTAATGATTACTTAAAGCATAACAACATACTAATAAGGGTTTTCAAATGATTGTTTTTGATATCTTTAACGATCAGACGGGAATTGAATGTATGTATCATTCACGATAAAAATGGCAGATCATACTTTGAAATTCAGACCCATGAGGTTCCGATTAAGAGAAGATGTAAAAATAACTTGTTATCTTGAAGTACTTTGCCTGTAATGGACGACGGTTTTGCTACATATTACATATGAAGATATCAGCATTATCAGTAACTGTCAAGGGACTTTGAGTTGTGATCATAATCTTGACCCACTGCAGACAAGGGGTGAAGAAGCAGGCTGATAGCGAGGTTAGATAAGCGAGGCAGTAGTGCATTCTCTCTTCCTGACAGACAAAACGAAAACCCTTTGCAAACAGTACAACAGTATGTTTCCCGATAGTACTCTCCAGTAACCTTTTCTTGCACAAACAGACGCGTGATGATCCGGGGTAGAATATGTCTTCAACAGCAACCCATGTTTGCCGTAATAAGCGACTATGCTTGTCTCAAGAGGCGACTAACGCGATCGGGTGGTCAGGCTAGCCTACTTGGTTGATGCATGTCATCGATCCCAATTGCGTGGGTCGATGCTCATGATATTAATCACTGGATTGTCTTGTCCAGACTCGATTATTTACAGACCGCCGTCATATAGCTGGAATATTGCTGAGTGCGGCGTTAACAACAAACCAACCAACCTTGCACAAAATATAATTGGGTTTTCTCAGTCATAGTGATGGCATCCCACACCATGACCGATCCACCGCCAAATCTGTCATGAGGTCACAGGTTGATGTTCATTTCGATGTCGCCAGACACGACGGCTCCCATCAATGAAGTGAAGAGTGAAGCGGGATTCATCTGTTACTTACCCCAGTTTCGATGTAGTGTACACCTTTAAGTGAGTGAGTGATAGGGTGTATGCTTTACGTCACATCGGCAATATTTCAGCCATATCGTGACGAGAAGTTATACATTATTTATGCATATATTTAAACTAAATAAGAACCTGTCATCGATAGACAGTAAAATTACTAGAATATCACAGATTATTATTTAAAACTAGTACACCTTTGAGGTGAAGGTGAGGTGAAATGTGGTTAACGTCATGTCCAAGATTATTGTACTTATATAGCGACGTGCATGCACGCGTGTGTGTGTGTGTGTGTGTGTGTGTGTGTGTGTGTGTGTGTGTGTGTCTGCGTCTGCTTATGCTAGTCCGGACTGATGCCGATTTATAGTGCTCACTCACTGAGATACCATGCCGCAGTTTAACATGAATATCCCACTCAGACACAGTACAATGACTAGTGGCCTTTTGGTTTGACGCGTCCGAGGATCGAACGTCGGACCTTCCGCTCTCCAGGCGGACGCTATACCACTTGACCACGGAGGCGGTCTCTTGTATACCTTTGACGTCTGTTTACAACATGACGGTGTGTATGGGGCGGTACAACACATAGACGTCAAGCATGAAGATGAACTGCATATAGACGATTCATAACAGTCGGACCCGTAACTCGCAATCCAGTAGCCTGGTGAAAGTTAGCAGCCATTGATTGGCCGTTTGAGCCTGGTTTTGGATCAATCGAACCTGGACTCTCGTCGCTGACTTTGGACGCCCTAAACGTGGTTGATCGTCAACATTTTGGGTTTGATGGTACCTGTGCCATAGTCTTCTAATCACAGACTGTGAAACATTGAAAGTATCGGCCACTATATGCTGACGTCTGACAGACCTGGCACCAATTTATACCTGTTTCCTTAACTGAAAGAACACCTTCGTGGAAAGCGCTATGACGACAACGATGACCTCAGCTGCCTGGAATGGGTTTTTCAGGGTGGATTCAGAAAACTTCGAATTCAAAAGCTTTACTATCGATATGAGAAGTATATTAAAAAGCAGGGAGATTATGTTGAAAACTAAAACCTCTTTCACCATTGATGGTTTTGTTAATTAGGCATATGACTTTCGTTGACCAGCCCTCGTATGATAAGCAGAAGCTTTTAATTTGGACAGAAATAGTGGTCCACAGAGATTAATCGACCTTCCTAAAACGTGTCAAAATCAGGAGTGACATCCTATGCAAGTGTTTGGCGCTACTGCGTGAGGCACGTGCAAACTATAGAATGCTTGTTTTGGTGTTCAGTTTTCAGACTATAGTTACATGCAAATTATGTCAATGCTTACTTTAGGCATTTTCTGGTATTTCATTTACGTTTCTATAAATCTACGTCAGACTATAAAATCAAATCTCGGAGTTATGTTAGTATGTGTCTCAACACAGGTCTGTGGCAATGAGATTGAACTGAACAACCCTGGACAAGACCTGGTTCATGTCAAGGACAGAAGTGGTAAGGCGTACTCACTACAACGCTATGATGGCGTCTATTACAACACTTTCTACAACGTTGCTCATCTTCAGCAGATCAAAGGATTTAAACTGCGCGCGGATGACGTTTACTTTGCTGGATATTTGAGGACAGGTAATTACACAAATGATGTTTGTTTGTTTGTTGTTTAACGCCGCACTGAGCAATATTACAGCTATATATGTGACGGCGGTCTGTGAATAATCGAGTCTAGACCAGACAATCCAGTGAGTGATGTCATGAGCATCGGTCAAGGTAATTTGGATACGATGACATGCATCAACCAAGTCAGGGAAACTGACCACCCGCCTCTTACAAGCATAGTCGCCTTTTACGGCAAGCATGGGTTGCTGAAGAACTATTCTACGCCGGATCTTCACGGGCATTTGACTATTAGTAAGTGCCCTCATCTTTATCTGCTCGTAACTTAAATCATCATTCACCTGAGATTCAGTATCTTTGAACACAAGTTTATCTTCAACAGGAACACACTGGACGTATGAAATGATGAGTATGCTCTTGAAAGGTAAAGCAGAAACCGCGCCAATCTGGAAAGGGGCGAACCAGTTAGAGATTGTGGGGGTTGCAGTCCTGGACGCGCTACCTTCTCCACGAATTATTAATTCCCATGTCAGTTTGTTCCATTCCCCTGATGATCTGATAGAGAAGAAATGTAGAATTGTGTATTCCCTGAGGGACCCCAGAGATGTTGCCGTTTCTATGTATAACCTGAGTCGTTCTGGATCTGTTGTGACCAACTACACAGGAGACTTCAAGGATTATTTTTACCTCTTTCTTGAAGGGAAAGGTAGATTGTCTTAAATTAGTTCTCATGGTCTTCGTTATATGATATGACTGGCAAATCGTAAATACCAACAAAAAAGTTTGGAGGAAGGAGGAAGGTTGCATTGAAATAAATCACAGTACGTACTTTTCTACTGCGATTAAAGCCAGAGTTGCATGCTGTTCTAAAACAACAAACCTTTACAAAAACGACGCGCGAGCAATATGTGATGCGTGCATCAAACCTATCCTAATGATCTGCATTGTTTTTTTTATAAAAGGCATTCAGTACAACAGACTGTCAGTATTACAAACATTTCAAATCCAAAATCATATTCATTTTTAACAGAATAGTAGTCATGTTTTGGCCAAATTTTCCGTTATTATGACACACATACAACCATCATAGGAAATTTACTCATTGTACTTACACAGAAAACTGCAATTTCATTTGTAGCTGATGTTAATGGATACTTTGATCACATGAAGAAGGCTGAAAACTTTCTTCAACAACATCCGGACATCCCTGTACTCACAGTAGTGTATGAAGAGATGCTTGAGGTAATCTTGATCATCCTGTCACTGAATGTTAATAAGTAAGCCTTGTTCATACAGTATCAACAGAAATGATACTATTTAATGTATATAGTATCTGTTGGCTTTTGAGGCGTCGCATTGTCACAGATCCTATCCTAAAAAATGAGAATTTAATCATTCATAAAAAAGGAAATGTGTGATGGTTTGTTTTGTTTGTTTGTTGTTTAACGCCGACTCATCAATATTCCAGCTATATGACGGCGGTCTGTTAATAATCGAGCCTGGACCAGAAAATCCAGTAATTATAATCATGAGCATCGATCTATGCAATTGGGATACGATAACATGCATCAAGCAATTCAGCAAGCCTGTCCACCCGATCCCGTACATGTGTTATGATCAAGCCCTTGTGCTCCTATAGAATATACAATAAATAATATATGTATTCTTTTTCATAGAATAAGCTCATGGCAGTTGAAAGGCTGGCAGGTTTTCTTGGCGTCCAGAAGAATGTTGGTCTCTTTGAAGCTGTTGCTGAAAAATGCCAGTTTTCAAAAATGGTGGTTGACAAGAGTGCATACACTATAAAGTTCAGTGGAGAAAACTCTATTTTCCGAAAAGGTAAGATTCCATAAGAGTATGATACAATTGTAGGATGAAGTAATTGGCTCTATTTTTTAACTGTTTCTCAAACGCATCAAATACCTCAGTGCCCTTACTTGGGCCAATCATACAAGTGAGTGAGTTGACGCCACTTGAACGATATTCCAGTTATAACATGGCGTATCAGCTTAAAGTGGGAGTAAAGACCGGCGTGCTGCAGCTCTCTGACGTTTATGGCTTTGGTGAAACCAATGAGCACGTGTGTATGGTGATGACAAACCCAGAGATATATCCGAACCCAATAGCACAGGATGGTGGCGTACACAAAAGTCGCAACCGTGCACAGCGAAATTGCGGCGCCTGTGTGTCTCCTCCTGCATCCATAACACAATGTCTCGGATGTGTGTCATCTTCCAACAGTATTTTCGTCTGAGCGACAAGTGCCCGGTGGTTTAAAAAATGACGATTAGTTGGTCAACAAAACAATGGTGTTCATAAGTGACGATCGTCACTATATGGCTGAAATATTGCCGATATCGATGTGACGTTAATTCTTAACTTACTCACTCACTCATAAGTGACGTTTACATTTTGCATGTCTTTGGATTTTCCTTCCAAATAAGTGATATCACATCAGGTTCAAAGCGGCTCTTCACCCCTCACTGTCACTAAAAGGAAGTTTGTTTGTCTGTTTTTCAACGCCGCACTCAGTAATATTCCAGCTAAATGACGGCGGTCTGTAAAATAATCTAGTCTGGACGAGACAATCCAGTGATTGACATCATGAATATTGATCCACGCAATTTGGATCGATGACATCAACCAAGTCAGCGAGCCTGACCACCCGATCCCGTCAGTCGCCTTTTACGGCAAGTATGGGTTGCTGAAGACCTATTCTACCCCGGAATCGTCACTTTAAGGAAGTCATCGTATGATCCCCTAAAGGCTGGAGGACGTAAATGTAAAACGTATAAGAGTATGGTAAAACGTGACCTAATGATAAATGGAATTCTCTTTCTGTGCAGGCCGGTTTCATGACTACCAGTTAAGGCCTGTGTGTAAAAAAAACCCATTTGACCCTCCAAATAGTACGATAATGCTGAACTTGTTTTGAGATTCACCAACGCTTGCTTCCATTTCAGGTGTGAGTGGTGACTGGAAGAACTGGTTCACTGACGAAATGTTGGAGGACTACATCCGTGTGTATAACGAAGAAATGTCCGGCTCACGATTCTACCGCAAAGAGTATGTACGGCAGAAGTAGTCCCTCATCACAGAATATAGCCTTGAGGAATAAAAGCAAACAGTCGAATGTATACTCAAATCATATATATATATATATATATATATATATATATATATATATATATCATATATACAGTTGGTTGGCTGGTTGTTTAACACCGCACTTGGGCGGTGGGGTAGCCGAGTGGTTAAGGCGTTCGCTCGTCACGCCGAAGACCCGGGTTCGATTCCCCACATGGGTACAATATGTGAAGCCTATTTCTGGTGTCCCCCGCCGTGATATTGCTGGAATATTTCTAAAAGCGACGTAAAACCATACTCATTCACTTTAACAATATTCCAGCTGTATGACCAAGCGTTGATTCAGGTTTGTGAAAATATATGCTTAATATACAAGTATATGGAAAAATACTAACAGTAAATACAGGTGACTTATCGTTATTAATTTCGCTTGCAGATCTAGGTCATCTTGAGACCGGTGTAGTATGGATTTGTTCCCTGTATAATTTAAAACTGCGCCCTCAACATTGTAGTTCCATTTACCTACTTATTGCAGCTCGCTGTATTTCCTATTAGAATCTGAATAGTTTCGATCTCTAAAGATAAAATTATACTTTAGGTCCTACCTTCTATGAATTGTGTGTATATCTAAGAATTGACTTCAGTATATTTTGTGTTAACAGAGGATTCCACAGTACGCACACCTGAGTTTAGGTTTATACCCCAATCAACGAATAATAATAATGAAGTAAGTCCTCATTAATAAATAAGTCAATAATAATAACTCCACGGGCTCCTTATGTACTCATAAACTTGCAAAAGTCTGTAGACACTTAGACCAAATTGATTGAGCATCGATCCACATAACTGGGATACAATGACACACATCAACCAAGTAAGCGATCCCGTTCGTCGCCGCTTACAAGCATAGTCGCCTTTTACGGCAAGCATGGGTTGCTGAAGACCTATTCTACCCCGTATCTTCACGGGTCGATTGATCCTGGAAGTAAAGATCCACACTCTCTCAACCATGTCATAGAAATTGACCAACCCTTCCATTTGGTTGCCTCTTAACTGGAGACGAATTCTGACGCTGAATCAAGTTGAATGAACCGACTAAGGACAACGAATCGGTACTGATTTAGTAGAGACTTCATCAATGTGCATTTATCTTGAAACACATTTGTTCCTTAGCTCCAGGTATCCTCATTGAGGATGTCGTGCTCCATCACGGAAAGATGACTATGATGACGAATATACCAATCACTGGATTGTCCGTCCAGAATCCAATGTTTCCTGACCGCCGTCATATAGCTGGAATATTGCTGAGTGCGGCGTTAAACAACAACCAGAAAAGAACGTACTTGCATAATCATAACGTTATGAATAGTAATACACTATTCACATTGAAATTTATACAAATATATAGTGAAGTGTGAAGGACACAAGATATACGACTTTTCCATTGGACGAGAGGTCAGTTACATGACCGCGAAACTGACGTTCATATGTTTATGAACGACACATTTTGACGTTCATACGTTTTCACGAGATTGTATTCTTGAAATGGCGTAAACACTGACGATCTTCTCCACTATTCCTGGGGTAAAGCCCTGGGAATCCCCCAGCATAAAAAAATTTCAGAAGCGTTGCTTCTGATCATTTAGACCCTTTCATCTTGAACTTAGCATATAAGTATACATTCATGAGAGTCAGAGAGTTAAACTACAAACCTCTTTAAGAATATTCTCGCAACGACCAATTACAGTGAACAAAACGAAAAAATGCAAATCCAAACTATGACTGACATGTGACAGCAAAACTATATATAAATTATAGTTTAATATAGTTAAATCAGAAATTATAAGAATTTACTTTTACTTTGTGTGAGTACATTTGAGTATGAGGGCAAAACATCGTGTGGACGTCGTCGAAAGCTTCTACGTTTGGCCCCTGCTCTATGAAGGTTCAGACTCCAATGAACTCACACAAAGTGAAAGTCAATTCTGAAACTTGCAGCGGGTAACAATTTGCCAGTAAAGTCAACACATAATGTCAAGCCATCATCTCGATCATGCTCATTGAAGAAGTTCTCAGCATCTTGCCAGTGATGAAACAAGCCGTTGTAATCAACTGTTAGAACACAGTTTTATGCTTTATTATAATTTAGAGATTTAAGTAAATAAATGCAGCAAAGAGGGTTTGGGTGATCCTGGCACAGTCAGGCTGGTTAGGTTCATCATCAGCTCAGGGCCCTTGCCCCATCTACACGCAGCCCAAACAGCGAATGGGACTTCTTCTCCTAGGAGGTACTGCCTAGTCGAACCAACACACAGAACTTGCAGCCTTCTGCATTTCACAGATTAACAGAAGGGTTTTATTCCTGGCAGTAAACCCAGTTACTCCACCAATGTCAGTCAATAGATTGGGAGGTGCCAAACCTCAGGCATCGACAACATTGGGGAGACATTTGGGGAGACATTTCGAAAGCGAGATCCGCATAGCATATTTGCCATGTTTGGTTGGTTGGTTTGTTGTTTAACGCCGCACTCAGCAATATCCCAGCTATATGACGGCGGTCTTTAAATAATCGAGTCTGGACCAGACAATCTAGTGATTAATATCATGAGCATCGATCCACGCAATTGGGATCGATGACATGCATCAACCAAGTCATCGAGCCTGACCACCCGATCCCGTTAGTCGCATTTTACGACAAGCATCGTCGCCTTTTACGGCAAGCATGGGTTGCTGAAGACCTATTCTACCCCGTATCTTCACGGGTCGATTGATCCTGGAAGTAAAGATCCACACTCTCTCATCCATGTCATAGAAATTGACCAACCCTTCCATTTGGTTGCCTCTTAACTGGAGACGAATTCTGACGCTGAATCAAGTTGAATGAACCGACTAAGGACAACGAATCGGTACTGATTTAGTAGAGACTTCATCAATGTGCATTTATCTTGAAACACATTTGTTCCTTAGCTCCAGGTATCCTCATTGAGGATGTCGTGCTCCATCACGGAAAGATGACTATGATGACGAATATACCAATCACTGGATTGTCCGTCCAGAATCCAATGTTTCCTGACCGCCGTCATATAGCTGGAATATTGCTGAGTGCGGCGTTAAACAACAACCAGAAAAGAACGTACTTGCATAATCATAACGTTATGAATAGTAATACACTATTCACATTGAAATTTATACAAATATATAGTGAAGTGTGAAGGACACAAGATATACGACTTTTCCATTGGACGAGAGGTCAGTTACATGACCGCGAAACTGACGTTCATATGTTTATGAACGACACATTTTGACGTTCATACGTTTTCACGAGATTGTATTCTTGAAATGGCGTAAACACTGACGATCTTCTCCACTATTCCTGGGGTAAAGCCCTGGGAATCCCCCAGCATAAAAAAATTTCAGAAGCGTTGCTTCTGATCATTTAGACCCTTTCATCTTGAACTTAGCATATAAGTATACATTCAAGAGAGTCAGAGAGTTAAACTACAAACCTCTTTAAGAATATTCTCGCAACGACCAATTACAGTGAACAAAACGAAAAAATGCAAATCCAAACTATGACTGACATGTGACAGCAAAACTATATATAAATTATAGTTTAATATAGTTAAATCAGAAATTATAAGAATTTACTTTTACTTTGTGTGAGTACATTTGAGTATGAGGGCAAAACATCGTGTGGACGTCGTCGAAAGCTTCTACGTTTGGCCCCTGCTCTATGAAGGTTCAGACTCCAATGAACTCACACAAAGTGAAAGTCAATTCTGAAACTTGCAGCGGGTAACAATTTGCCAGTAAAGTCAACACATAATGTCAAGCCATCATCTCGATCATGCTCATTGAAGAAGCTCTCAGCATCTTGCCAGTGATGAAACAGGCCGTTGTAATCAACTGTTAGAACACAGTTTTATGCTTTATTATAATTTAGAGATTTAAGTAAATAAATGCAGCAAAGAGGGTTTGGGTGATCCTGGCACAGTCAGGCTGGTTAGGTTCATCATCAGCTCAGGGCCCTTGCCCCATCTACACGCAGCCCAAACAGCGAATGGGACTTCTTCTCCTAGGAGGTACTGCCTAGTCGAACCAACACACAGAACTTGCAGCCTTCTGCATTTCACAGATTAACAGAAGGGTTTTATTCCTGGCAGTAAACCCAGTTACTCCACCAATGTCAGTCAATAGATTGGGAGGTGCCAAACCTAAGGCATCGACAACATTGGGGAGACATTTGGGGAGACATTTCGAAAGCGAGATCCGCATAGCATATTTGCCATGTTTGGTTGGTTGGTTTGTTGTTTAACGCCGCACTCAGCAATATCCCAGCTATATGACGGCGGTCTTTAAATAATCGAGTCTGGACCAGACAATCTAGTGATTAATATCATGAGCATCGATCCACGCAATTGGGATCGATGACATGCATCAACCAAGTCATCGAGCCTGACCACCCGATCCCGTTAGTCACATTTTACGACAAGCATCGTCGCCTTTTACGGCAAGCATGGGTTGCTGAAGACCTATTCTACCCCGTATCTTCACGGGTCGATTGATCCTGGAAGTAAAGATCCACACTCTCTCAACCATGTCATAGAAATTGACCAACCCTTCCATTTGGTTGCCTCTTAACTGGAGACGAATTCTGACGCTGAATCAAGTTGAATGAACCGACTAAGGACAACGAATCGGTACTGATTTAGTAGAGACTTCATCAATGTGCATTTATCTTGAAACACATTTGTTCCTTAGCTCCAGGTATCCTCATTGAGGATGTCGTGCTCCATCACGGAAAGATGACTATGATGACGAATATACCAATCACTGGATTGTCCGTCCAGAATCCAATGTTTCCTGACCGCCGTCATATAGCTGGAATATTGCTGAGTGCGGCGTTAAACAACAACCAGAAAAGAACGTACTTGCATAATCATAACGTTATGAATAGTAATACACTATTCACATTGAAATTTATACAAATATATAGTGAAGTGTGAAGGACACAAGATATACGACTTTTCCATTGGACGAGAGGTCAGTTACATGACCGCGAAACTGACGT